TACAGTTGAAATGGCTAGATGTAACCTTAAATTTTTTCTCTTACACTTCCCACTTCTGAAAATCTCTTCCAGCTTCTTACATTCCTGTCAAATTTGATTTTCAAAAATTAATTGCAATGTCTATTGTTATCTTCTGTCTTTTTAATTCCTCTTATTTTATTTTTCTCACTCCTTAATAAGATTTTTTTTAAAGTTTTTCACCCCAAGCAAGGCGGGAGTGCCACTAGCACACAAGGGATTACAGAGAGTGGGAGCAAGAGTAAAGAGGCGTGATAGAGGAAAGGATGAAGAGAAGGATAGGGAATAGATCAAGGCATCTGGCGATGTCAATTAAAATTGCATTTGAATAGTTAGAGATTATAGCTATCAGGGAAGCAAGTAAGAGGAAGGAAGTTCTACAGAGTGTGAGACATGAAGCTATTGAAATAGAAAAGACGGCTACATTTAACCATTTTGACAGTGAAAGAGTGGGACTGAGATGCCAACCTAGTAGCACGTTTAAATTCATGCAGTTTGGGAACCAGCAAAAGTAACTTGTCGGAGCAGTTACCGTGAAAATATTTGTAGAAAAGACAGAGGGAGGCAACAGCATGTCTGTGAGAGAGCAACTGTAAGTGAGATGCCAGATCAGGGACAACCACATTGCATATCCAACTCTGAAATTTTTCTTTTTCTATTCTTTTACACTCAGTAACCCCTTGTGACTTAGTAGCTTTTTTATGTCTTGCTTGGGGTGAAATGATTAAAACTAAAGAGAAAGAAAAAGCAATAATATTTAGTGAATCTGAAAAAATGTTTAAAAAATATTTTGTAAGTTTCAACCAAAAATAATGCTAATTGTTCAGTCAAAGGTTGCCAAATGTTTCCTGTATAGAAACAGTTAATAATCACCATCAATACTTAGATTAGTGTTCTTACCTGTTTATTAAATTTTATACACCCTGTTTTCTTCTTACCTTTGTGTGTTATATTATGTTTGGGGTCATTGTTAAAAGGTGAGGTGTTGAATTGGTTGAAAAATATACAAACAAGAGAGTAGAATAAAATGAGATATATATTTTTATTCTATCAGGAAAGTCCAGATTCAAAGAATATTCTTGAGACTGTAAAAAAATCAAATGATGAAATAGTTGAACTTACTTTGTAGGTGAGTTAAAGAGCATTGTTTATACTATGTGCGTCTATTCCAAAATGCTAATTTTCATGTCCAACCTCATCCTCTGCATGATGTAAAAGAGGGATAGCCCCTTGGAATTCACACCACACATGCTCCTAGTTTTTGGGGTTTTTTGGAGGGTTTTTTTTACACCCAACCAAAAGCTGAAAAGGAGTTGTTGCTTTCAAAATATTCACCTCTGGGAAAAAGGTGTAATGTCTGCTACAAATGTCTTTCAGGCAAATTTGATTTGAATTAAGAAGTTATAGCACTTCTTACTATAAATGACATTTTCCTGGGAAACTTTTGAGTACATTAATTTTCAACTTTTTTCTCTTTATTTTCTTATCACTTTGCTCACATACCAAATTAGTGCATTATCAGAGATTAAACTCTCCTTCTGGGAAAATGATGAATATCATTAAGAACCATGACAGTCAAATAGTAAAATTCTTAAACCCGATGTAGATGTTCATTTTTATGTTTGGTTTGCAAAATGGATATTTTCAGTATAGCACTTGGCTCTATATTCTGTCTTCTTATTTCCCAGAATTGTTCTTTATTCATTCTCCAATGATTCTCTGAGATTCCCCACTTTGGTATTTCTAAAATTCTAGTACTCCCCTGTAATATTTAATTCTTACATATTCAAAATTTTACTGCAATTCATGTGAATGAATCAAACTAAATGCTCACATGTGCTAATTGGCCGACAAAACATGAGCTTCCAGCATCACACCCTCTCCTTTTTTGACCAAGACACATGAGTATGTAGAGACGGGAAATACACTGTATGCCAATTACACATGTATGTACATACACACAAAATATTTTTATATATGCGTACTGTATATGCATTGTATGTATTAACATACCTTAACATTAACACTCTCACTCAGGCTCACTAGAAAACAATTCAGTGTTAATAACTCATTCGTGAATTGCCCCCTTATTCTGTTGGTATAATAAGATGAAGGGTGCACATTCTACACATGCCCCATCAAAATATTACCATGCCTCACCGGTGTGGCATGCACTCTACATTGGAAATCATTACTCTATAAGATTCCTTTCATCGTCTTACCACAAACTGTTATTTTCAAAGCTTTATTTTTAATGCAGTCTATTATTATACTTTTAGCAAGATAAATAAATTGTGGTAATAAAAGTTTGTAGTTGTGAAAGTTTTATTAATTACTAGCAGTAGAGCCTGGCGTTGCCCGGGGATGTAACAGTAAGAGATAGATCAAGTATTGACCATCATAAAGACTGAAAAATAAAATTGACAAAGATTATTGTTTAAGGTTGACAGACATGCATTTTTTTTCATTTTTTTCTTGTTTTTTTTTTTTTACATATTGGTCAAACTCAAACAAAAACATTGTTTTCAATCGTTATGAGTGTACCAATTGAATAGAATTTTATTATAAACAATTGCCTTGTAAATGGAATTTTTAAAGCATTCTGTATGTAAAAATAAAGAAAAAAGTGTGCAAGACAATAAGAAACACTACCTACCAAAAAAAAAAGTGAAGTTTTGTTGAAATCGGTTGGAAAATGTAGGAAATCCGATCCCATATATAAATGAACACTCACACAAACAAACAACCTGGGTTTTATAATAAGTATAACTTGATATGAGTTGTCCTCCTTTCATTCTCGCGATGACTCTTAATTGTGTTTTCAAATTGATTTTGTGCAAAAACAATTGTGTTTTTCCAATTTTTGGTGCTGTCAGAACCACTGCAAGGTAATTTTACATAGTCCTGTGAAGTTTTGTTGAAACCAGTTGAAAAATGTAGGAAATCCGATCCAATATATAAACGTACAGACACACACATACACACACAACCTGGGTTTTATAATAAGTATGATGTCAATTATGAATATTATATCAATTGTTAATGATGGACTCTGCTGCTTTCTTCGTTGTATGATGTTCCAGCATTTCAGTTCTTAGAACCAAACAACCAGACAACTCACACATATGATTTGATTATAGGCAAGAAGTCTAATGCAGGACCAATCACACTTTTTGGAACAACCGAATACAAAGAATTGGGGCCATAAGGTTTCCAAATGACTTTTGAATTCAGAGTTATTCTCCTAGACTGGGAAAACAAAGAGATGGATTCATACCTTTCCTAAACATATTTGTGCATTAGTGAATGTAATGAACTTGACTGCAATTTAAACTCAGCTCTCCATTTCTCATTTTGTACCACTATTCATTTCTCATTCTGAGCTGCATATCCAATTATGAGTATTATGTTTATTCTCATGCCAATTTTGAATATTTTTTCATGAATCAAATATGGTCTTTATATATTTGGCTTTTTCATTTCTCTCATTTTAAATGTTTATTCATCTATCCCAAAATAAAAAAAATCCCTTTTTTTTTTACTTTACTCTAATATATCTCAGACTTTTTAATAACTAAAATGATTTCTATACATCCATTTTCTAAAGAATTGATGGATTTTTTATTTATCAATCTGACAGATTTTATGACTTAAACATTATTTTTTAGAAGATATCTATATTTAAGTAGACACTGTGTTTATTTATTAAATAGTATATTTATTTATTTTTGTGTATTGGACTGAATATGTTGTATGCACTTTCAAACAGGATTCAAACCTTTGGCAGGAGAAACCATCATTACATCTGACATGCTTTAGTGTCTGCTCAATTCACTAAAATGTAACATTTAAGTAATAAAACATCTATTTTATAAAATTTTTTTATTCATTTATTTTGCAAAGTGTTTTTTTTACATTCATTTTGTAAAATGTTTTCTATTCATCTATTTTGCAAAGTTTTTTTTATTTATCCATTTTGTAAAATGTTTTTGATTCATCCATTTTGCAAAGTGTTTTTTTATACATTCATTTTGTAAAAAGTTTTTATTCATTGATTTTGTAAAATGCTTTTCATTCACCCATTTTGTAAAATGTTTTTTACTCATTCATTTTGCAAAATGTTTTTAATTCAACCATTTTGTAAAATGATTTTTATTCATTCATTTTGCAAAATGCTTTTAATTCATCCATTTTGTAAAATGTTTTTTACTCATTCATTTTGCAAAATGCTTTTAATTCATCCATTTTGTAAAATGTTTTTTACTTATTCATTTTGTAAAATAAAGAAATAATAATAAAACACATTTTCTGATTTACATTTTTTTTAATTTTATTTTTCATTTTTTTTTATTTTTAAATTTAATAAAAAATGTTAAAATTTACATGAAAGTAAATGTACAAAATGTATAAAATGTAATTAAAACATTGAACAGAATAAGGACATTTTTCTTATTACAGAAACATTGAAAATAATGTTAATGAACACATTTTTTTAAGTAGCAACTTTGTTATGGTAACATTTTTTTCTTTAATTTTTCAGTTGTTCTCATGATGTTCTTAATGGACGAAATGGTGATAACAGAATAAAAACATTTAAACATCCAACTGTTTTTTTTATATATTCCATCTACATACTTTGTTTGGATATTTCGTATCAGTCATTTTATCAAATTACGAATAGTAATTTTAATAAATACTTTCTTGATAATGTGATGAAAATATATATTGCAAAAATATTCTTCTCAGAAAATTATATTTTACAAATGTAAAACATGAACCATTAAATAATTAAAAAATATCTCACTTGAGGATTTAATTTTATTATATTTCTTTTTTTATTTTTTGTGAAGTGAGATTAATTTAATTCTGGAACTTTTATACTTTTGTCTCCCAGATTTAATTATTCATTGCTCTTAAGAAAGCATTTTATAAAATTAATATTAATTTATATTTTTGCTAGCAGTCCATTTGTGAAATTTCACCTGTGTAGATATCAAGTTCATAGATCCTGGAAATAGAAAGAAATTGTCATTATATTGAATAATTTTAATTACTTAAGAAAATGAATGAAGTTAAATTATTAATAGGGAAAATATATGTAATTTTCAGAAGAAACTAGAAAACAGTGAAAAGATAAAATCAAACAAATTAACAATAGTCTTTGATAATGTTGATCTTTTTTTAACAAGATAGAAACAACAATCTTTTTCTTCTATGTTCAATATCTCTTCAAGAGGTGAGTGATGATGGCTCTATACAACTTGCTATCCTTTAAGATTTTAGCAAATTTTGTCTTTTTACTATTCATCTCTATTCATATTCAACCATCCTCATTAGGCATATTATTTGCTGTTTCCCCTCTGCCTGTCTTGCTATCATTATATTCTGTGAGTATTAAGTTCTCCAAACCCACTTTCCTCACTATGTGCCCCCAAAATATAAACTGTCTTTTTCTGATTCTATATACAAGTGGTATTTTTGTTCCCATTTTCCTTAAAACTTTCTTGTTGCTCATATGCTCTGTCTATGGTATTTTCAGCATTCTTCTGTTAAATCACATCTTTGTTGCTTCAGGTTTCCTCTTCATCTGTGAGGAAATTGTCCAACATTCACTCCCCTATAGGAAGATTGATATTACATAACATTTCAGCTCTCTTTTCTTTGTTTCTAACATAATTTTCCTATGGTACTTATATGGAAATTCATATTCTAGGTATAAATTTCCATTTTGTTTCCATTTTTCTTTCTCACTCACATGTTCAGTCTATGGTATTATCGGTGTCTGTCTGTAGAACCACATCTCTGCTGCCACAAGTCTCTATTTCAACAATAAAGGAATTGTCCAGTATTCATTGCCTTATAGGAGGATTTGTATTACATAGCAGTCCAGTACACATTTCTTTGTTTCTCTCCATCCCTCTTGTATTCAATATGCCCAGTGAGTGTCATATTCTCCAAACCCTCTTTCCTCATTATGTGTACCAAAAATATCAACTGTCTGATTCTAAGTGTCCTTTTTGTTCACATTTTCCTTCTTTCTTGTTTACATGTTCCAGCCATGGTATTCCCTGCATCCTTCAGTTGAACCACTTTTTTGTTGCCTCAAGTCTCCTCTTCATTTGTGAAGAAATTGTCCAGAATTCACCACCATATAGATAGACTGATATTACATAAGAGTTCTTTGTTTACCTCTGTCTTTCTTGCCTTCAATATATCATGTGAGTGTAAAAATTTCCCAGCCCTATTTTAACTCTCTTTCTCTAAGTGTCCTTTTTTTTCTATTTTTCTTAAAACTTCCCCAGTTTTTATATGCTTCACCCATGGATATTCTTAGTTATTGCAACAGAGAAATCATTGAGTTCTGTATTCTAAATTATTTTCTTGTTTTTTTTTTCTAATAAGCAATTTTACTATTAGTTGCCAAAGTATCTCATTCTATTATAAAGACAGAGATTTTAATTGCTCCTTCTTCAATGCTTTATTTTTATACATATATATATACGTAGAAAAAGTTTATTGTTTACTCAACATTCTATTAGTTGGTCCGTGGAAATTCCACAGATCCTGCTAGTTATTGTTATTATTATTGTTTTTATTTTCTTTGATTTCTGGCATTTACACATTTTTTCTGGATCCCGCCCAGAGACCTAAGGTTAAAAATGGCATCATGACACTTTCCACTGTCAAAAAAAAAACACACATTTTACATAGATAAAGCCCTTCGTAAAGTGTGGGCTGTACTTGTGAGAACAATTTTTTGTATTTCTTTGAAGCATGAGCTTCCAGGAATCCCTTCAGTTAGTCTACTGGAATCTTTTCCAACCAATCCTAGGGCTCTAACTACAACAGGGATTGTTGATGTTCCCATGTGCCACATTTTTGAGATTTCTATTTCAAGGTCCTTGTATTTTGACAGCTTTTTGAATATCTTCAAAGATATATTGCAGTCTGCAGGGACTGCCATATCAATAAGAAGGCACTTTTTTGTTTGTGGTCTATTATTATTATTATTATTATTATTATTAACTTTTTTTCTTCTGGCTTGCATGGGGTGGGGTGGGTTGTAGTTTAAGTTTACAATTAATTTACATAGCAAACTGAACCCACCCCTTAAAATTTAGAAAATAATTTTATTTTTATATTCATGATCTGGAGACTTTAATCAATATAATATGAAACAAAATTTTGAAAAAAGATTATTATTTCTTGGAAAGGTACATTTTTGTAGAATCATGAAACTGAACAATAACTGAGATACAGCTCAGGGAAATTGATATTATCATATAGTGTGTAATGTAAACAGAAATGAAATAATTGATTAGGTGAGTCAGCATTAGTTGATATTGCACTGTTAGCAGGGCTTAAAATACAGTAATTACATGCCCCATCAAAGTAATAAGACACCTCCCTAAAGAAAGCCATCTTCTGGATGTATTCTTGTAGACTTAAATATAAACTCATGTTTATCTATAGACTCAAGTATAAACCAAACCAACATTTACCTACAGATTAAAGTATTAACTCAGCCAACATTTATATATGGTCTCAATTATAATTCTCCCTAACATTTGACTAAAGAGTCAAATATAAACCCAACAAATATTTACCTATAGACTCAAATATACACCCAAACATTGTTTACCAATAGACTCAAGTATAAATCCAATAAATGTTTACGTTTAGACTCCCGTGTAAAGCAAACTAATGTTTACCTATATAGACTCAAATCTAACCAATGGTTACCTATAGAATCAAGTACAATAATACTAAAAAAGATTTGGACATTAAGTACCCCAACAACAGTTGATAAGTCATAAAATCCACTAACTCAGCCCTAACTTGGTTGATAAGTCTTTATTGTTAGATACAAACAGAAATAGTTTTTTAAGTTACTTTTGGGAAAAGATATTTGATTGGATTGTAATAGGATTATTTTTACTGTTAAATATCCAAATAATTCAATATCACTTACAATTATTACTATTAACTGTTATAATATTTAATATATTAAAATATTTTTCATTTGATTCATTATATATCAAATACCATACTAAATAATATTCATGTTAGTTTTTTTATTAAAAAAATAATTCTTACAGACTGTTCAAAAGAACAAAAATGTAGTGAAAAGATGTTATACTCTGCTTCAAATTAGATCTCTTTCTGATTCACTCTACATGTTTGCATGCAGCAAACATGTAGAGTGAAAGAAAGAAAAATACAAGAAAGCAAAATACAAATAAAAAGTAGCACTCTGCACAGGGGCTCTGAGCATCATATCTGGCTCACAAAACAAATCTTCTAAAAAAGAAATGATTTAAAAGGAGCCAATCATGAATGTTGTCACCAAAGAAAAAACAAAAACATTAATGAGCCATCTGCTTTTAAGAATGCCACCAATTATAGGCGAGTCATTGCGAATGGTCAAGCTGTCACTGTTAAAACCAGTGACACCAGTCAACTGACCCAACACACACATCAACCCCAGGCCCTAACAAATCTTTCCTCCAAATCACTTCCCTTGGCCTCAAAGAGACATTACACTCACATCCTCTGTATTTGTAATAAAAAGAATTTTATATTAACAATACTTGTTATTTTCTTTTCTGCCTTTTTGTTTATTGTTGTTTTCACTTGTTCTCCCATCCAACCAGAATTGAAAAATAACAATGATGTTAGTGCATAACGGAGAATGAGAATTTTACTTACTTTCGCCATCGGAAAAAGTAGACATATCCATGTCCATATGAAACAGCTGCACGAAAATAAAATGGGACACCAGGGTATTGTGATCGGATGCTGACAGGATATGCTGACCAGTGCATTGTATTCTTATCCAAATGGTAAATATATGATGTCTGGAAAAAATTAAATTGAATGACAAAATTTTTCTCATGCACAATTGGTATTTAATTTGCTTTAAGTAAGTACTACTTTCTACAACATATTTTTTTTATCATTTTGTCCCAAGACAGGCAATAAAGCCACTAAGACAAAAGAGGTTACTGAGTGTGATAGAGTATGAGAAAAAGAAAACATTATCAAAGAGAGAAAAATAAAAGAGTAAGAATTAAGAAGATAACAATTGACATTGCATTTAAAAATTTTTATTAAATTTCCGTATCTAGTGCTGACCAATAAAATTTTGGTAACCATTTGAAATTGTTAAAAAAACTATGAAAAACAAAATAATAAAAAATAATAAGCAATAAAACACCTTACTTGCAAGTTGCCTAAAATAAAAATATGTAATACTTTTTTTTTATTATTTTATTTGACAGTTAAACAATTTTATTTTTAACATTAGTTGTTTCAATTCCATAACCATATTTTTAATCTTTACTATTTTACTATCAATATGTATTTTGTATTTAAAAGATTGGGGGACATTATTTTATTTTACCTATGGGGGGAGGTATAAAGGACAGCAGCTCAAAACCAGAAATTGGAGTGCTAAGTTTGAGCAAAAATATTTCAGCAGACCCATAAAAACAAATCCACTAGTGATTTATTTTTTCTCAAATTATATTCAAGGTATCAGTTTATTCAAATGTTCAAGTTACTGGGTTGGCTTTTAAAGACATGGCATCTCGGCTTCAGTCACTTTCCCACAGCCATAACATAGCTTCCCTGTACCTTTTCTATAAATACTTTCATGGTAATTGTTTTGATGAATTTTCTTCTATGGTACCTAGACTTTATGAATTTAAATGTAGTAGTAGGTTGGCAGCAAATTTTCATCCTCTTACAGCCAAAATGGCTAGATGTAATCAAAAGTTTTATGCTAACAGTTTCTTCTCTTGCACTTCTTGCCTTTGGAAATCTCTTCTGGCTTCATGCTTTCCAGTCAACTTTGATCTTCAAATATTTAAATACAGTGTTAATTGTTATCTTCTTGTTCTTTTATTGTCCTCAATCCTTGATAGTGTTTTATCTCATATTCTCTAATACTCAGTAACCCCTTGTGTCCTAGTGGTTTTATTGCCTTTGATCTTCAAGCATTTAAATGTAATGTCAATCATTATCATCTGTCTTCTTAATTCTTGTCTCTTTTATTGTTCTGTCTCCTTAATAGTGTTTTTTTGCTCATATACTCTAATTCTCAGTAACCCCTTTCATCTTAGTGGCTTTATTGCCTTGCTTGGGGCAAAATGATTTTAAAAAGTACCCTTTGATGAGTAAAGCAAAATTAAAATCAAAATATGTAACAATAATATGCTTCAAGTAAGATAAGCATATTTGAAATTATTAATAGTCATTTTTTTAAAACAAATTTAAACATGTCAAACTCATTTATATTGTCTTCTTAGCTGATTGTTTTAAAGTTGGTCTCATTTGTATTTGCCTTTACTTATATGTTTATTTCAATGTTAAAGATATATACAGAAATCAATGTGTATGTGTATATGTACATATGTGTGTGTATACACTTATGCCTGTGTACAGGATGTGATGGGTAAATTGCTGCCATTTCATATTTTTAAATTTTGTGTGTGCGCATTATTTGTTTTTGATTATGTTGATGGCACAGTATAGTAGAATCAGTTGGGCACCATCTGTGAGAAAAAGAGCACCATGATGCTGTTCACTCCACCATAAATTTAGAAACAGAATGCTGTACTGCTTGGCATTTGCATCTGAAGCTCCAATATGAATATTTCAGTGTGTTTGGGTGTCAGTGCAGAGGATTCAGAAAGACTTGGATGAGTATAAAATAATGATTGTTGTATCTTGGAAAACTCACTGATTGTTCTGATAAGAAAAAAACTCCTGAATTTGTTGGTAAAGGCCTCAGACTCAACACAGAGGCCTACATCAAGTATCTTTAGGAGGTAGTGCTGCCTTGGTTCAAGAGGGTGGCTGCTGGAAGACCCTATGTCTAGCAACAGGACTCTGCACCATGCCACACAAGCAGGAGAACCCAGTCATGTCTGACAATTTCTGCAACCACATCACCCCTTACATCTGGCCTACCCAGACTGCAAACCCCTTGCTTATTATGTGTGGGATGCAGTTGAGCAAGAGACCAACAAAATTCCTTGTAACACCAAAGATGAACTGAAGGCAAGGATTATGGCAGCATTCACCAACTTAAACAAGGAGACTATTAAAAAGAGGTGCAGAAGATTCCAAAATCATCTGGAAGCCATAGTTGAAGCAAATGGCAATTTTATTGAATGATTTTACACTTCAGTTTTTCAAGATATTTTGTGTAATTTTTGTAAATATATCTAATAAAATGATATAAATTTTGGATGAATGCTGACAAAGATGACAGAAAAGCATGTCATTTCTGTGTATTGTATCAAAAGAATGAAACGGTCTTTTTTTATTTCAAAATCTATATCTTATGCAACTGTTAGATTTATAAACTTCATTGCTTTTTTCTCTCAAGCCCAAAAGTCTGGATATTCGAAAATTTTAAGGTCCTTCATAAAATTAGCCACACATTTAAAGTGATATATTTTGTGGTACAGAAAGTAGGTTTTGGAAGACTTACAGTATTAACAAGCTGAAATGATAGCTGAAAATGACTATTCAAAAATATCATAATAATTCTTTTAAAATTTGACAGAAGAATCCAAAAATCATCCCGTTTCAAGAAGAACAATTTCAAGAGGTCTGCTACTGTCTCCAAATAATATAGCAGACTTGTAGTGTAGTATTACTGACTCACAGGAAGTAGTATGCACTCAACTGCCGATGGGTAATAGATGTAGTTATTTATAATCTTTGTGACTTCCTTTGTAAATGAGTCACCTCATCTCCCTGTACCAAAGAGATTTTATCCCCTTATTTTCCTTAGTACTTCTAGTAGCTTTTGTCTCCTCACTATCTTCCTCCCTTTCCCTAAAAGTATCTAGATATGGATGACTGTGATCTTTTCCTTTTTTCATCTGTCCTTCCTTATGGCAATGAATATTGGATGATTTCCTCAAAGATGAAGAAGAGATTTGAGGTGATGGAGATGTGGTTCTACAGAAGGATGCTAAGGATATCATGGACTGAGCATGAGAGAAACAATGAGGTCTTAGAGAGGTTTCAAACAAGGATTATACTTAATATCAGGAAGAGGCAGCTGAAGTTTCTGGGACACATAATGAGGAAGGAGGGCCTGAAGAATCTGATACTCACGGGTCAAATAGAGGGAAAGAGAGACAAGAGAAAACAATACATGATATACCTGGTGGGCTTAAGCAAGTGGATGACAAGACATGACACATAAAAAGAAAGAAATTCCTTCAATGATTGTTCATCTTCAGAGTCTATATTGCTCTCAATTTCACTGCTATGTTTATTTTGCCTTGACATGACACTTTCATTACTTTCAGGCTTAGTGTACATTTCTTTATCCTTGTCATGTTGCAATCTAATGGTCTTCATATGCTAATAACACATTTCCTTTTTTTTCTTTTATCATAGTATTCTATCCACCTTGCATTATGATTCTTGCCTCTTGTACATTAGATTCACTATTCTATTTATACCACGGTTTTTTGCTGGCAGAGATGGTCAGTAGGGCTCTAATTTATCTACCTGTGAGAGCAGATAGGCATTTTGATCTTCCAGCATGTGGTATTGTCCTATAGCTTAGCAACAATCTAGGAAGAAATGTTTCTATATTTTCTTTCCATTGTAGATATATCTTCAATCAGTTTTTTAGTGTTTGCACCATCCTTTCTGCTAATCCGTTTGATTTTGGATGGTACGGTGAGGTTTTATATGGTTTATATTGGTATAGTACCTCATCCCAGAATTCTGGGGTGTTATCAGGTACTAGCATTTTCAGAATTCCATTTCTTGAAAACCTGAAACCTTAATCTCCTTTGTGTAGATATTACTCCACAATAAACATCAACATGTATTGCTTTTTATAATTTTGCTCCTTTGCACTACTGGTGGAATCCTGAGCAATATACTGTTCAATATGGGATCTTGCTTCATATCCTCAGCTAATTTTTCTATCAACAAAATATCAGTTTTGACCCAGTATAATAAAGTACCTTTGATTTTTTCCTCTTCTTTCTCATTTTCAGAAGTAATGAACCTCAATCTCAACATAGCATCTACATGTGGAATGGTATTGCCTTTCACATACTCAATATCACAGTCAAATGCCATTGACATTAAGGCTCATCTTAGAATTCTAGAAGATGTTACCTTAGGAAGTTCCTTCCCAGGATTAAATATGAATTCTAAAGGTCTAGGGTTGGAACTTAGTAGGAATTTCTTTCCAATCAGAAACTGACTAGGTCTATTTGTCATCTATATTATAGTCAACACTTCTTTCTCCATATTTGAGTAGTTCACTTCAGTTTTTGACAATTTTCTCAAAAGATACATAATAGGGTGACCATCTTGAGCTAATATTAGTAAAAGTGAGTGTTCACATGTGTCACTTGTTACAAGTATTTCCTTTCTAGGGTTGAATATTTTTACTCTTGGTTTCTTTGCCAGAACATCTTCTAAATTTTCAAATGCCACTTGTTCTTTTGTCCAAATAAATTCCACATTCTTTTTTCTTAAAGCAGCAAAAGGTTCTGTCAATTCAGAGTATTACTCTACATATTGTCTGTAGAGATTTACAAGTCCTAAGATAGATTTTAATTTTTTTTTGTTCTTAATTACTTTTAATATTTTTCAAATTAATGACTGTTCTGCTCATATGTCTCTGTTAGATATGGAATATCCCCCAAATTATATTTTTTAGTGATATGCACACATTTTTTTTGTTAATTGTTAATCCATCATTTTTTAACTGATTCAAAACCATACTGGGTTTTCATTTTAGTTCTTTGTTGTTAATAGCACCAACACAAATATCATTCAGGTAGTATATTGTATTTTTTATATTGTCACCAATAACTTGCTCTATAGCCCTTTGAAAAATCACACTTGTAGTTTTAATTCCATGTTATTCTTTTACATCTTAATAAGCCTATTGGCATGTTTATTGTTGTGACTTTGAAATATTTGAAAAAATGTCAACTTTAGATCAATTTTAGAGAATGTTTTCATACCTGCAAGGGTGTGCAAAGCCGATTCTACATTGGGGATAGGATATGACTCTGTACATATTTTGTGGTTTACACCTATTTTGTAGACACCACAAATGTACAGATCCCCATCCTTCTTTCTTAAAATGACTAATGGGGAGAACCATTTACTCCTCCCTGGTGGAACTTGTTCAAGTAGATCTTGTTCCAGTAATTATTTTAGTTTTCCCACAACTGTTGGTAGTAGATGAACTTGCACTTTTTGTGCTTGAAAATATAAGGTGGGGGTGGGGAGACATTTTCCTTTAGTCTTAACTTTGCTTCATAGTTTTTAACATTCCAGTTTCTTCTGCTTTGACTTTGTTCAATAATTTTGTCAAATTTATGTTCAATACATCATTTTTTATTAGACCATGATTCTTTTCGCAGTTTGCCATGATAATTGGTAATATGTCAAACTTATTTTTTAGTTCCATGTAGGCTTCAATATAGCCCAACGTTTTTATCATGGATCCATCAAACTGATTAAGTTGGACAAGGCTTTTCTTTTATCTTAGTTTTTCTAATTTCTTTCATGCCACTTCCTGTATCTAGTTGATGTCAATCATCAGCCATGATGTGACTTTTGTGAATTCATCTTACCCGACACAATATTTACATTCATAGGAAAAATATTGTTCAATGTAGAAGACAAAAAATTATTTTTTTTACAATGATGTTCTGCCTGTACAAGGCTCAAGAGCTACTAGAGGTAGAGAGTTACAGAGTAAGAGGCACAGATTTCAAATCCTTCAGATTTTTTGTTTTAGCTTTGGCTGTTAGAATCCTCAGCCATGTTTGTACATACTGATAATTATCCAATGATAATTGTTTGCTTGGTTCCTTATATATTGTCAGCACTATTGTAGTGTAGTATTACTGACTCACAGGAAGTAGTATTACACTCAACTGCTTTATGGGTAATAGCCATAGCTATTTATAGTTTTTGTGACATTCTATGTAAATGAGTCACCTCAAGACTAATGCAAATTTTTGACATTTAATGACCACCATGATAATCAGAAGTTTTATTTGTTTCCTGGAATGAGGAGTCATGCTTTGAACTGAAATGCTGTCGCTAAACATCAGATGAGAGATTCAACCTAGAATGTTTGTCTACCACAGTGAAACTTGAGGGACTCACAATGGAGATAAGGTGGGGACGTTTTTTGTGAATGGGGCTTTTTTGTGTCGGCCAGTGGGTGTATGACTTTGAGATTTTCTCAGAATGTAGATTCTACATTCTCACATGGATGTGAGAGAGACTCTCCTTTTCCCCTCTTGGATGGGTGCTTATATATCTACCTGCTATTTGGCACATATTAGATACAGATGGGTTGGCCATGTGTTTACATGTCAAGTGCAGCCACTGGCATCTAGTGAAGCCCTGGGCAAAGATTAATATTTAATAAAAATTACCGAAGTAGTATATAGTAATAGTGATGTCATAGCAATGTCCTTTTGAAATACCATTTTTTCCCTGTATATAATTTAAACCTTGCCTGGATCTGTACCTGACAGATTGGAGGCCACCTCTTAGGTCAAACTAAAGCATCTGGCTTCTCTGCTGGATATTGAATGCAATGTCTATTTTGGTATCATTTGAGGTGAATCACATACTGCACAAACATTGTATTAATTATTGTGTAATATTGATGCATATTACTTCTATATTTTAGTATGTATAGATAGGTTCACACTCCTCCCTAGTCTTTTGAACAGGAGTAGAGTTTTATCTTTTGTTTCCTGTTTAGGACTGGGTTTCTGATTCATTTGAAAATTTTTCCATTCTCCAAGTTGCTCCTTGTATCTTATTGGCACTGACAACTTGCTTGGGTGAATTGATTAAAAAAAAATTGTTAAAATAAGAAAGTAAATGTAAGAAAAATTTAAAAAAACTTACCTGACTTTTTTGCCTAAGTTTTTTTAAATATTAATATTCTTTATAACTTTTTTACTTTCAGAATATGTATATAATTTTATACTTACTGTTAAAACCATTAGTTGTCCATCTTCAATCATAGCAGCAAGTGGGAAAATCCCCAGATATTTTGGGAAGTTTCGAGCAAGTTTCCCATCAACATATTTCCACACATCATGATCTAATAAAAAGTACATTAATTCAAAATTTACACAAAATAAAAAGAATAAAGTACAGTACAATTTATCAATATAAGTAAAACTATGGGCAATCCAACCAACTTGACCTGTAAGGAATTTACATTTCCAATAGATTTGCACTTTACAGCATGCCATTCTGCAGGTCACAAATATATACAGTGGCAGACTGTGTCTAAAAATATAGGTCCTCAGGAGACAAAACAATCCATCCACAACTACAATGCTATCATTTAATTTTCATAATGAATAAATAAAAAGAGCTGAAAAATGAGTGGAACGGAGTGGGGGCTCCGTTCCACTCATTTTTCACATCCATTTCAAATTGCTATATTCCTTCATACACTGGGTGATTATTTGTTCATTATTGTATTTTTATTTGGTATTGCTCTTTTTAAAAACAATTATATTTTATTAAGTTGGAATACAAAACTCAGGAAAGAAGTTGGGGAATTATTTATCTAATTAATTATAATTTTCAAAGTCCTTTCAGTGATTAACAGGCCCATTATCATTGGCTGAACCAAGACTTCTGCTTCTCCAATCACTACAATCTTAACTCATTCAAGTTTAGGATTATTTCTTATCTTCCCCATGTATGCACATAATCTGTGCCTCTTACTCTGTAACTCTCTACCTCTAGTGGCTTTTGAGCCTTGTACAGGCTGAACATCATTATAAAAAAAAATAATTTTTTGTCTTCTACATTGGACAATATTTTTCCTATGAATGTAAATATTGTGTCGGGATGCAAAGGGTAATTATCTCCCTTTGCATAAGATGAATTCACAAAAGTCATGTGATGGTTGGTGAGTGACATCAGCTTGTGGAGTGAGGAAGTGTAATTTCAATGAAGATAGCTAGGATGATAGACACCATCTCAACCCCACAGTGGTAAGGCAAAAAGAGGACACTACATGGTCCCACCAAGAACATAGAGGATACAACCAGTCTCTCAGTTTTGCCTTTGGGAAACATTATGATAAAGAACCTCTCTTCTTCTTTTTGTCCTTTTCACACTGCTTGTTGTATTCACATGTGTTATAATTTCTCTGTGTGGGAAAAATAGTGACACACACACACACACACACACACACACACACACACACACACACACACACACACACACACACACACACACATAAACTAGAATTATAATACACTTACACACATAAATTATACACACAAACGGTGCTTGACAAGTCAAATGCACATGAGGTCTGCTTAATCAATTAAAATCAAACAATATGAAGTAAAAATACCAGAATTTCTTTAGTAAAAAAGAAAATTTGTTACAACTGTAAATGTTTCCTATTTCTTCTTTATCTTATCATTTTATCAGATTCCAATCCATATTTGATCTATATATGATCTCCATTCATCTTGTCTGAACATGGAAACTACTTCAAAAAGACAACAACATTCTATTCATCTACACAAAAACTCCTATTTTCTGGTTACTCCCTGAGAAGAAATTTCTTACTCAACTGCATTGCTGAAAAAGTGATCCCCAAAACACTTATAAAGTAATCAAGATGACAACAGATATTTTCCCCAAATATATCCATGACTACCTACTTACATGCACAAAAGGGCTCAAACATCATGAAAAGCTCACTAATGACAAGGCTACATCAATTGGAAAAATGCTATGTAGTGAAAACATGCTATCCAACTTCAGAGCTGAAAGCTTGAGACAAATGATATCATACATAATCAACAAACAAATAAATCATCTAAAACTCCAGCTTCACAAGCTTTGCACTCACTGTTGATGGAGGGAGATCAGTAATCCAAGTCTTGTTTACATCATCTCTAGTGTTAAACATTCTATCACTGAGATGAGGGCTTTGAGTCTTGGCTTAAAATTTGCAACTGGATTAAGAAAAAGAAACACTTTTACCACCTTAGCCAAAAACCATAGATTCAATCACACTGAATTTGAAAAGGGTTTCACACAAAGTATCATTGCAGCCAGCCTTACAAATACTGAAGAAAAGCACTACCCAGGAGACACCTACTGGCATTAAAAAACATATATGGATAAAAATAAAATCATAACCCCATCTAGTAAGGAAGGCAGAATAGTCATCATGGATAGCAATGACTACATTGGAAAATTAGATGATGATAACACACGTACACACACATACATGTGAATGTGTGAACACACACACACACACACATATATATATATATATATATATATATATAGTGTTAATATTACTGGTAAATATACACATACATATGCAAAATATATAAATATATATACATAGGTGCATACACATACATGTATATTTTTTTAATAAAAAATTCCAAGAGGATAGAATCCAGGTAGAACTCAATGTCCAGGACAGAGTAAGGATATAATAAAAAGGCTATTATTATTAATATTGATATTAGTGTTTAAGCCTTTATATATATATATATATATATATATATATATATATATATATCAAATATGTGGTGCAGCTCAATTTATATTACAATGAATCATTCATACAAAAAGTAAATTAGTAAAGTTAATGATATAAAATGGCAAAAGCTCTTTGTTAACTAAATTTTAAAGATGCATTAACCTACTAATCACTTGATAAATGTTATGATCCTTGTTTCTTTTTTTAAAACTGTATTAGGTCTTTTTTAAATATGCAAGTACTTTTGACTGTACATCCAGTCATCATCAGGCATTTGTATCCATTATCAATAACACATTTAAAAAAAAACATTTTGATTTGCATTATATTTTTTGTCTTGGATGCTACCTGAATTTTACCAAAAACAAAATAATTTCCATGCTTGATGATGACTGGACATACAGTCGAAAGTACTTGCATATTTAAGGAAGACCTAATATAGTTTTTAAAAAAAGGATCATAACATTCATCTAGTGATTAGTAGGTTAATGCATCTTTAAAATTTAGGTAGTGAAGGGATTTTGCCATTTTATATCATTAACTCTACTATCTTACTTTTTGTATGAATGATTCATTGTAATATATATATATATATATATATATATATATATATTAATAATTACACATATACTTTTTGTATCTGATGACTGGCAAAACTATAAAAATCTGAGTCGTAGTGTAAATATAGGCATATGTGTAATTGTTAATATATACTTTATAGCTTTGTTTTACTACATTGAGCACTGTTTTGTCTGAACCACTGATTAAATAGTTATTTGATCACCTGTATATGTACATAATTGCTCACATATATGGTTGATCATATCTCTTTATTTAGATCATTTCTACATCTATATCTATAAATATACAGTGTATCACAAAAGTGAGTACACCCCTCACATTTCTTCAAATATTTAAGTATATCTCTTCATGGGACAACACTGACAAAATGACACTTTGACACAATGAAAAGTAGCCTGTCTGCAGCATATATAACAGAGTTAATTTATTTTTTCCACAAAATAACTCAAAATATAGCCATTAAAAGCTAAATCTCTGGCAACAAAAGTGAGTACACCCCTTAGGGAAAGTTGTCAATATTAACATACAACATGTCAACTGTCAATATTTTGTGTGGCCACCATCATTATCCAAAACTGCCTTTACTCTCCTGGGCATGGAGTTTACCAGAGCTTCACAGGTAGTCACTGGAATGCTCTTCCACTCCTCAATGATGACGTCGCGGAGCTGGCGGATATTTGAGACTCTACGCACCTCCACCTTCTGCTTGAGGATGGCCCAAAGATGTTCTATTGGGTTCAAGTCTGGAGACATGCTTGGCCAGTCCATCACCTTTACACTCAGCCTCTTCAGTAAAGCAGTGGTTGTCTTGGATGTGTGTTTTGGGTCATTGTCATGCTGGAACACTGCTCTGTGACCCAGTTTCTGAAGAGGGGATCATGCTCTGCTGCAGTATTTCACAGTATATGTTGGAGTTCATGTTTCCCTCAATGAAATGTAACTCTCCAATACCTGCAGCACTCATGCAGCCCCAGACCATGACATTCCCACCATCATGCTTGACTGTAGGCATGACACAGTTATCTTTGTACTCCTCACCTGGTTGCCGCCACACATGCTTAAGGCCATCAGAACCAAACAAATTAAATTTCGTCTTATCAGACCATGACATGGTTCCAGTAATCTATGGGCTTTGTTGACATGTCTTCAGCAAACTGTTTGCGGGCTTTCTTGTGTATTGCCTTCAGAAGAGGCTTCCTCCTGGGGTGACAGCCATACACACCAATTTGATGTAGTGTGCGGCGTATGGTCTGAACACTAACAGGCTAAATCCCAATCTCTTTAATCTCTGCAGCAATGCTAACAGCACTCCTACGCCGATCTTTCAAAGAAAGCATTTGGATGTGACGCTCAGCACGTGTGCTCAGCTTCTTTGGACGGCCTACCTGAGGACTGTTCAGAGTGGACCCTGCTCTTTTAAAATGCTGGATGATCTTAGCCACTGTGCTGCAGCTCAGTTTCAGGGTGTTGGCAATCTTCTTGTAGCCTTGGCCATCTTTATGTAGTGCAACAATATGTTTTTTAAGATCCTCAGAGAGTTCTTTGCCATGTGGTGCCATGTTGGAACTTTCAGTGACCGGTAAGAGAGAGTGTTAGAGCTGCACTACAAATCTGAATACACCTGCTCCCCATAAACACATGGGCATAGTTACACTAATGAGTCACATGACATTTTGGAGGGAAAATGAAAAGCAGTACTCAATTTAGACATTTAGGGGTGTAGTTTCTTAGGGGTGTACTCACTTTTGTTGCCAGGGATTTAGCTTTTAATGGCTATATTTTGAGTTATTTTGAGGGGAAAAGAAATTAACTCTGTTATATATGCTGCAGACAGGCTACTTTTCATTGTGTCAAAAGGTAATTTTTTCAGTGCCGTCCCATGAAGAGATATACTTAAATATTTGAAGAAATGTGAGGGGTGTACTCACTTTTGTGATACACTTTATATAGATAGGATTAATACAAATGTAAAATTTGTCACTTAGCTGATTAATGTTATCTTCAGCATTCCTGCAATCACTCCATCCACTCATCAGGGTATATCAGTAATACATACATACATACATACATATATATATATATATATATATATATATATATATATATATATATTAAAATTCCTTCCTTTCTGTCATGCGACAATGGCCTAGGGGTAAGATATCTGACTGATGTCAAATCAGTTGGGTTTTGATCCCAGCTTGAAGCAATCAGACATCTAGCCACACTGAGGATCTCTGATACAGCAAAACAGTCTGTCTGTGGATGACTGTATATATATATATATATATATATATATATACATACAAGTATATAATTGGTGTGTATAGAATGAATTCCAATAACCAACAATTACTATTCTTAAAAGAGTGCTCAATACAAAGTAGAGCAGATATAATTATTTATTTAAAAAATTTATGATATAAACATGTTATAAAATCACTACAAAAATAGCCATTTTGTTTCAACACTCCTTGATAAAAGTGATGATGTTGAATGCAAAACAAATGGTTTTAAAAGTTTCAAATTAATTAATGATCATTCACAAGGGGGAAACGTTGTTACAAAAGCTAGAATGACCAATCAAAATACAAGTATAGGAAAGTTCAAAAAGCCTGACAACGAAGTCTTGTTATAATAGCTATTCAGATTTTTAAAATATGGTAATATTAAAAAAAGAATTTATTCTAACCAATAATTATTAAATTATATGATAAAATTTGATATTAAAATTAAAAACTGCCAATTTTAAAATCAAAATTTAATCACTATTAAGTTTAAAATTATAAAATTACCGAGGAGAAAAGGAGAAATACATATGTTATTCAATTTATTTCTTCGTTGAAATTACGTTAGAATAGACGCTACTTCATCCAGTCCTCTGATAATATATATGTATACATTTTAATCCCAAGTGTGAATGAGGTTGTAAACACATGCGTAAAACAACACAAACACAATCAGATTATAATACATAAGCACCCAGACATATTTAGATATATATACACACAAAAAAAGTGACGAGACAGGGAACATCTCCACGGCCCTTTAAAAAAAAAAAAAAAAAAAAAGAGAAAACCAACACATACATACATACACAATTAAAAAGTGAATGCACTTTCCAGGAGTGTTGAAACAAAATGGCTATTTTTGTAGTGATTTTATAACATGTTTATGTTATAAATTTTTTAAATAAATAATTATATATATATATATATGTTTGTGTGTGTGTATGACATAGTGGTATAAACAATCTTTTTAGGAACAATGCATGTTTGTTCTTCTTTTCTCACTTTCATCCTTGCTCATTGTGTTATGGTATTAGAATATCATGTATATACTAATGTCTATAATGGGGGACTGCAAACTGGAAATATTCTCTCTCTTTTTGTACCACCCCTCTTAATCGTATATTTATATATTCTTATAATTAAACTTACAGCTAAACAGAAATGTAGCCTTGGTTTTTGGATCATAAGCTGCAGCATGGACATAAGAAGGACCACCTGGAAATATTGAATTGATTCGGTGACGTACAGGATCAACCTTTCCATTTTCATCAATGTACACAAGGTAACTTCCATAAAAACCAATAGACCTATCATTTTCATCTGAAAAAAAAAGAAAGAAAAATGATTGGATGATTTTGAAAAGAGATGAAAGAAATTGTAAAAATAGATTTAAAAATATTTATTATATATATATATATATTTTTTAATCATTTCACCTCAAGCAAGGCAGTAAAGCCACTAAGATGCAAATGGGTTATTGAGTGTTATAGAATATGAGAAAAAAACACTATTAAGGAGAGAGAACAATTAAAAGAACAAAAATTATGAAAACAGTAGATAACAATTGACATTGCATTTAAATTTTTGTAGATCAAACAAGCAAGAAGCAGGAAGAGAGTTCCACAAGTCTGATAGAAGAAACTGCTAGTATAAAACTTATGGTTACATCTCATCATTTCAACTATAAAATGATGAAACTTTGGTGCTCAGCTAGTAGTACACTTAAATTCATATTCCAAAGAAGAAAGCTCATCAGAAACATGAAAGTATTTATAGAAATGGCACAGAGAATCTATGTTACAGTGGTGGATAGTGAATAAAGATCAGATGCCAGGTCTAGATCAATAACATTACAGATTCTTCATTGAATTTTATGAAGAATATCTAAATATATAGCAAGAGCACCAGACCAGATGTGGCAACAGTATTCAAAGCAAGAGTGAATGGTAGACCTATAAATATGTAAGATAGATATAATGCCTTTCTATAATGTTCATCTTTGTTGTTATACCCATAATGCTTCAACTGTTGTACACTCCAACCTTCTTTAGAACACAGGATACATAATCTAGTGCATTAAAACAATTGTTAAAAAATATCTGGTTTCTTGGTAATCATGACTGTTAGGTATTACACAAAAGTCATATACTCTTGTTAAGTTGGAAAAACAGACAAGTAACACAAAGATGAAATAAAGTAAATTGATACAAAATATCCCTTGACATTGAAAGTAAAATGAAAATGACCTACATCCATAGATTGAATAGTTTGACTCAAAATTCTGAGAAAATTAACCAATATGGCAAATACCTGAAGAAAACTGGAGGGTACAAAAGTCAAAATGTTCTGCATATAACAATCAGCAATATTACTGGTCCTGACCTGGCATCTCAACATGTCATTTTTCCACCACCATAATGTAGCTTCCCTGTGCCTTTTCTATAAATATTTTCATGGTAATTGTTCTGCTGAACTTTCCCCCATGGTATCTAGACATTAATTTAAGCGCAATACTAGATTGGTGGCAAGGTCTCATCATTTTACGTTTGAAATAGCTAAATGCAATCATAAGTTCTATACTAACAGTTTCTTCTGTCTCATTTCTTGCTTATAGAACTTTCTTACTTTCCAGTCAACTTTGATCTTCAAAAAATTTAAATCCAATATAAATCGTTATCTTCAGTCTTCCTAATTCTTTTATTGTTCTTACTTCTTAATAGTGTTTTTCTTTCTCATATTCTCTAATACTCAGTAACCCCTTGTATATTAGTGGCTTTATTGCCTTGCTTGGGGATGAAATGATTAAAAAAGAGATGAAAATGGATGTCTGAATGGAAAGTCATATAATAATGATAATTCCTCATCTTGAAAATTCTCAAATAAAAAGTGTAGAATAAAGTAAAAAAAAATTGTTATTAAAGATACTAAATGATAAAACAGTGAAAAATGAAAAAATATATAAAATGGCAATTTTAGATAGATAAAAAGGGTCATGACAATATCTACAATTTTTATTTTATGTGCAGTAACTATAAATGTTTTCAAAAAATGAAAAATATATGTTGTCAAAACAAAGGTTTGTAGCAATTTTCAATAGGTGGAATTTGAACATGTAATTTCATTTTACACCTGACTGAAATTTATGACATACATATTTGAATGAAATTTATGATAGCATACATATTTTAATGAAATTTATGACAGCATACATATTTTAATGAAATTTATGACAACATACATATTTTAATAAAATCTATGAAATGCATATTTTAATGAAATTTATGAAATTTATCACTTACATATCTTAATGAAATTTATGACATATATTCTGAAAAGTGATGTTTAAACATGTCTTTCTATATTATTCATATGTGGATTTTGAATTTTAACAAGATTTTTATATTAAAATGGAGATAAACGAGATGCATTTTTCCCTTTTGGTGTTCTTTTATTTCCAGAAAGGAAAAAATGCTGAACAAACATCAAAAAATATATGTGCTATCTATGGAGATAATGTCATAGCTGGGAGTACATAAATAGTTTGGTAGGTTCAGAAGTGAAAATGTTGACTAGGAAGACTGAGAATGATCTGGCAGGTCATCAGTCATTGACGGTGAACAAATTGTAATATGGCTTAAAAATAATTCAGGTCACACAAAAGGGGATATTGCAGGGATAGTCCCCATATCTCATATAAGTATCTGAAAACATTTTGATATGTGAATTATTATCATATGTTGGTGCCTCATGACTTAACAGAAAAAAAGATTTAATGAACTGCATTTCCATAATGTATAGATTATTAAAATAACTAAGGGGAATAATTACTCATAAATTTATTTACTTAAGTTGAGTTGCCTCCCTTTCCACTACATATGGAAGAGAAATATATAAATAAATACACATTGAGAATTATTATATAGTTTGATTCTTTTAGCTATTCAAAAATTTTCATTGCTCTTCTATACTCAAACATGACAAAAACAATCTATTTTTTGAAAAAATAAACAATTACAGGTGAAGAAAAATTAAGTGTCTAAGGTGTGTAAGGAGCTGCACAAACCCACCCTTCTGATATTTCTACCAGAATCAAGCATGATGACACGATTCAGGACAGTTGGTGTAGGATCAGTTGCAGTGAAACACCAGATCAAGTTTCACCACCTTTTACCTTCATAACTGCTCTATTTACCTTTGTGCAAGGAAAGTTATAAACTTACCTGCTATGATGGCTCCATATTTAAATGGACATGGAAAATCGTGAGGAGGAAGTTTTGGTTGCATTGGCTTCTTTGTGGTTGTAGTTACTGCTGTTGATGTAGGTGAAGGATTCAAAGGACTGACTGCTTTAGTTATTGTTGTAGTAGGAATTGTAGTGGTTACAGAATTTGTACTAGTTGTTGGAGCACTAGTGGTTGTTGGAGCTGTAGTAGTTGTTGGAGTTGTAGTGGTCATTGGAGTCGTGGGTTTAGTACTGGTCATGGTAGTTGTGGTCAAAGTTGGTTTTGTTGAAGGAGAAGACCTAGAAGTTGTTGTTATTACTGTTGGTGTTGTTGCTGTTGTTGTTGTTGTTGCTGCTGTTGTTGTTGTTGTTGCAGCGGTGGTGGTGGTAGTGTCTGGAACTACTTTCTTTCCTATAGTTTTTTTAGAAAAAGATAAAATTTAAACATTATTAAAATTGAAAAATAATTAGTTTATGAGATCATATTTCCATAACTAATGACAATTATAATAATAGTCCTGTTGATGTTTGTAAATTAGATTTAAGAACTCAGAGAAAAACTGGTGTTAAAAAAAATTCCACATGGTAAAATGTTAGATAAGGAGCATAGAATCTTTTCAAAATAAAAATCATAGACATACATACATAGCCTTGTTATTTTGTTGAGGCAGGACTGGGATTAATCTCACACAAAGTAAGCCTGCCTGACAAAAGATTTATCATGATGATCTGAGGCAAGATTTTACACAGCCGGATACTGTTCTTGATGCCCAAATCAAGAAACTCATGGTATATCAAATGTTTTTATCAAGACACCATTTTTAGGAAGGTTGCCATTTCAAGGCTTGAGACCACATCCTAGCCTTATAATTATACAGACACGCACACGCACATGCACACACACGTGTGTGTGTGTGTATATATATATATATATATATATATATATATATATATATGTGAAAAGTGTGTGTATATAAATATAAATAAATATATATATATAATTATTTATATATTATATGTGTGGTACTTATTAGAAAGCGCTCAATATCAGAGATGGAGCTAACATATTTGGTTGGATTGATGTGAGTTTTGTGATCCTGGGTTTTCACGCTTTTGCAATTGTCAGAGTTTGTCTGACGATCGTAAAAAGCGTGAAACCCAGGGTCACAAACTCACATCAATCAACCAATATATATATATATATATATATATATATATATATATGTGTGTGTTGGCCTTCGGTTCCTAAAAGAAGCTAATCCACTATTGTTGGAAAATATTTCTTAAAACAATGATATTTCTTTCCTTTTTATTTCATACTAGTGAACTCATACCATCAAAATTGATGGCAATTGTTAGAAAATTTTGATAGTGAGATGCAATGAAACAAAAGTTTTCTAACTGTATATTGAGATTCAATAAAGTGGAGACAAAAAATTCACAACTAAAATAGAGGCCAATGAACTGTTTAACTAATCTGTTCACTTCATATTTTTTGGATGTTCAATGGTATATATGACCCATTGATTACACCTGGTATTATATAAATCACTTTTTGGTCAATATACTTTTATGTTAAAATGTGTTTAATATAACATTGAAATGGAAATAGCTCTTGAAAGAAAATGAATAGCAACAGAGAGACAACAACTATTTCAAGATCAAGTTAAAGCAAAGTGATCTCTTAATAAACACAGGTATCTGAGTGCCTCACATGAAAGGCTTGAATAAATAAGATTGCAATCTAAGAAATGGAGGAGTAAAAAAAAATGATTAAGTAGTTCATTTTGCCTAGTAATTAATTTTGTCTAAAGGCAGATAAATATTTTATTTGTATAGATTAGCACATCTTAAACTATGGGTTGCAACCCCAAATGGGGTCATGAAGCAAAATTCTGGGGTCACAAAAATTAAATTCAAACACTTAAATTTCAGTTTATAAGTTAACAAATACACAATATTTAATGTGATGCACCATGCAAGTGCTTTGGTAATAAAACATGCATGTGGCGCAATTGTGACTAGTGCAGTGACAATGTGTAGTTGGTTAATAGCTGGGGTCAAGAAAAATCTCGTGATGAAAAATGGTGTCATGAATAAAAAAAGTTTAAGTGCTGGTATAGATTATTAAAATAACTAAGGGAAATAATTACTCATAAATTTATTTACTTATGTTGATTTACCTCCCTTTCCACTACATATGGAAGAGAAATATATAAATAAATACACATTGAGAATTATTATATGGTTTGATTCTTTTAGCTGTTCAAAAATTTTTATTGCTCTTCTATATATTCTCATGTTGTCACATAATAAATTTATTTAGCACAGAACACATTTGAAATCTGTTTGGAGCTTACAATTTGCATTTTTTACGTAGTATATTTTAGAGAAAAAACAAAGTGGAAAAAGTTTAGAATTTCATTGAACTAAAGTGATGTTTCTGTTGATGTGACTACACGTTATTCATATGTGCAGTAACATTAAAATAAACATTACTTCGGCCTAATGAAGTCCAAAAGGATGAAATAGACCAGACAAAAATTTTTTTCTAATTTTTGACAGTTTTTTTTCCTAAAATATACATAGCAGGTACATAAGTATGCCCAAGTACATGTACAACCATGCACATGCACAAGTGCATGCACACACACACACACACATGCTATGAAATGAAAGATAAGTCTTGCACCAATAAAAAGTGCATATATAAAAGAAAAAAAAGGAGAAATATAAACAGTTAATTGCTGATATCCCCTGATGAGTGGATGGAATGCTTAAGGTAACATCAACCAGCTGACATACTTTATACTTTATATACAAGTCTGCCAGGGCCACTAGCAAATCTCTATTTTTCCACCTGTAATTTATACTGTAACTATGCTGACAATAGTTACAGTTTCTGGGAGAGAATGCATAATCTGGTGTGATCAATTATTTGAAAAAAGGCCAGTAGGCTCAAACCCTTGGTCAATATGTTTTGTGACTTTGTGCTAGTACAACCATCAATGGCTTCCAAATAGTTCCATTTACTTAATTTTACTTATAAGACTTGGGTTATATTATGGTATGGTTTTCAGGCACTTCTTTAAGGTGTTATGTGATGGTATTCCCCTACAATATTGATATTAACAAGAAATCACCTTTCCAAACTCTGTATTGAGCAATCATTTAAAAATAGTATGTTTTCATTATTGGAATGTATTCTGTATACACCAATTCTGTATATATATATATATATATATATATATATATATATATATATATATATATATATAATTATTTATAAAAAATTATAACATAAATATGTTATAAAATCACTACAAAAATAGTGTTGTGGTAGGATCCACCTAATTTGCATAGTGGAGTACCGACCATATAAATATGGTTGGTACCGGGAAGAGAGGGAGGAATCAAGAGATTCAACCAGAGATTCTGCCCGACTGCGACTCAGTCAACACATTCTCCATGAACGGTCTTACCAGGAATATACAAAAGACTATATGCAAATATTGTGTACACTTTCTTGTTTCAATACATTTTGTTCTAAGTACATTTTGTGTTGCATTATTATTCCATGCATTAGTCAAGTTTCAACAAATAGCCATTTTGTTTCAACACATTCGGTGCCTTATCAAGTGATGATGTTGAAGATAAAATAAATGGTTTAAAAAGTTTCAAATTAATTAACGATCCTACACTAGGGGGAAACATTGTTACAAAGGCTAGAATAACCAATCAAAAACCAAGTATAGGAAGATTCAAAAGCTTGACAACGAAATCATGTTATAATAGCTATTCAGATCTTTAAAATATGGGTAATATTAAAAATAATTTTACAAGAAAAAATCTGGCATTCATTGACCAAGCAGCCTGTACTGTTTTTGGTTGAAATTTATAAAATCTTTCTCGTAAAACAATTATTTATGAAAAGAGGTTTCTCAAGTCCAGTAACTGTTACTGCTCTTTCTGGTATTGACTCCTTCATATCAACATAATAGATGCAATCAGCTTTTCCATGAAAGACTTTTTGCCACTCCAGAATGCTTTTTGCATTACTAGCCAGGTAAGAGATGCCTCATTGTTTGCCCAAAACCATAGAAAATGAAAAATAGTCAATCTCTATGATTAATCAGATCGTCTTACACAGCCACCTCCCTAATATTTAATATGTCTATTTTGACAATGGCCATCTTTCAAAGAGGTCTGTCTTCACCCAAAGAAAAACTCTCAGTGTGCTGATATTTGCAAGAGGGTTAATACTTGTTTTAGGGTAAAAAACAGGTGGTCACCTTTCTTGTTCAACTGAACATTTCTCAAAACCAAATAGTTTTTTGCATCTTCTTTCCAGAATCTGTCATTTGTTTTTGCCATCTTGTACAAATTTTTCAATGTGAACTCCTTTTGTCTAAGACTAACACAGCCACCTTAGCCATTTTCCTGCATATGACTGCTAATTCTCTCCTTGGGGACTGTCTGTTTCATCAAATATAAGGCCCTGTAGTTACTGTTACTGAGGTGTTACTGTTTGAACCCACCTCTGGCCCTTTTCTACTGTCTACTATTTTCAGATTTCTAAGGGGTCGCCACAATATTTTTGTGAATAATTGTTGAGAGGGTAGGGATGAAAGTCTGCCAAAATCAGGTTTTCCCAGTTTAGGTAGTAGGCAGGTCTACCATAAGCCCCTTCCCAACAACTCAAGTAGATGAGAGAGGATTGTACATATAGACACAGCTAGTTTCTCATGGACCTTCTCTGGATAAGCTGTGATGAGGTGATTCCACACATCAGTATGCCAATCTTTTTCCAAAGACAATTACCAGTAGTTTCTGACCATCCATGTTCAAATAGCTGGAAATTTTCCTATCCAACATTCCCCCATTACCTCTCCATACAGTCAAAAGTCACCATCATTATTTCCCCAAACTGTAGCAACTAAGTGACTAAGTGTTCTACCAAAATATATCTTTGTTTGTATACTATTACATGGTTCTCTACTGGTTTTAGTATTCTATGGAAAATACTCCTTTGGGTAGGAGAAGGAGACAGAGATCAACAGTATGTCCTCCGTAGGAAAACTCATGACTTCAACTAATACTGGGTATAACAGTAAACTACATGCAGTAGCAAGGCCTCTGACCAATTTATTTTATTTTATTTTTATATAGTACAACTTAATTCACAAATTTGGAACTCTTCCACCTATAGAGTTATGAATACAGAAAAATGCCGTGCTGAAGAACTAGCATGTCTATGGAC